AGTGACAAACAGACACAAACAGACAGAGGGAAACCAGGAATCCCACAAAGACAGCTAAAAATAAATTTAGCCATATCTTCTAAACTGTGAGGTTTATTAAAATGAAATTCAAACTAATATTAGGGGAGTTTATTATGGGTTACTGGGCATGTAGAGGGCCCTGTAATGTGAACAAAGTTTTCCTGCAAAAGTGGTTGGATCTTACAAAATCTGTTTCAGATCTTTAGGACAAGGCCCTGAGCTAATACCTCAAGGATCCAGATGTCATGATTCAACCCTTGTTGTGATGTACCTCAAGGACAATATTTCACAAGTGAAGTGGGCGTGGCCTATATCTTCTAATTTTTTTTTCTCCAAATCAGTAATGGTGCCTAAACTGTCAAAATCACACCAAAATATGAGCATGATTTCATTATTGGGGACATTAATTTGCATGTGTGCTGTCAGGAGAAGCCCTTGGTTAAGGACTTTTCAGATTTATTGGACTCATTTAATTTAACTCAGCATGTAAACGGTCCCACCCAAGAGCGCGGAAATACACTGGACCTTGTTTTAATTCGAATAACCATTTGTTTTAAACTGTTAGTAATCTTGAAATTGGTGATAATGTTTTTTCAGACTACATGCCAGTCCAGTTTGAGTTCATCCTCCCCCATCTAACTCCTAAGCCGTGTGTTCCTGCACGTAGTAGCCGGGCCATTAACCATTTCACTGCCGCACGTTTCACAGATGTTTATAACTCTGAAATGATAATTCAGCCCCCTGTGTTTCTCACCATTACTCAGGAGCTGACATCCCAGTTCAACTCCGTCTGCCTAAAGACTCTGGATCATGTTGAGCCTGTTAAAACCAAAAAATCAAAACTCAGAGCAGAACCTTAGCTGAGTGACGTCACCAAGGCGGTTAGGCAGCAATGTAGGAGGGCGGAGCGCAAGTGGAGGAAAGACAGGCTGCAGGTCTTTTTTTCAAATACTTAAAGATGTGAGATTCCTGGGTTTTTTGCCTGTCACTCACTCTTCCTTCCACAGCCAATTAACTTCAACTCACTCCACCTGCTGCTGCTCTGAGGAGGACTGCCTGATGGGTATTTAAGCACCTGCCAGACACCTCTTCAGTGCTGGGACATCTTCTACCAAATGGTAATTCATGTACAGCCAACTAACCTTTGTTACAGCTGGTTCTCACCAACTGTGACTCCTCCAGGACTTTCCATGGCCTGCCTCTTCAGATCCTTCCTAGGATTTCATCGCTCCACTGGACTCCATCTGTGGATCAACGGTGTCCCTTCAACAACCACCATTAAAGCATTCTCAACTGGGTCAACCTGCTCCTCTCTCCACCGCCAAATACCTCAGGACTGGATCTCTTACAAAACCCAGAGTTTGAGAAGATTTTCAAAGTAAAATAAAGTGTGCTAACTGGTATATTTATTTTCTTTCAGTTTTTCCCTCTTCAGGGGTCTCCACAGTGAGTCATCATCCTCCATCTCTCTCTGTCCTCTGCATCCTCTGTCCTTGCTCCATCTACCTCCATGTCCTCTCTAACTGCACCCATATAACTCCTCTTTATCTTTTTCTAGGCAGCTGCATTTCTAACATCCTTCTACCAATATACCCACTACCCCTCCTCTGGACATGTCCAAACCATCTCAGTCTGGCCTCCCTAACTATAAAGTGTGCTAACTGACCTCAACCTATAGGTGACTCCAGATTTATGGTCAAAACCTGGAGAACTGTGACTACAAAACTCTAAGCTATCATAATTGTATTTAGCTGCGACCCCCAAAGTAAGCAGACTGAGAAGGAACGACAGAGTCAAGTTCAAAAGGTAAGTGATCTTTATTTACAGGTGCAGTGCCAGGTATATACAGGGCTGGAAGAGAAGAGAGGCAAGGTGAGTATCTTTTAAATCCTCAGACAATCCTTGATAGTGATGATGATGAATTTTTTTTACTGTTCTTGTGTTTGCACCCCTAGGAGGAGTGGAAGGATCCTGGGTTTTGAGGCGATCCACTGAAGGTATTGGTTGGAGAGAGGAGCTTGACCCAAAACGGTTTGTTTGTTGGCTGCCGTTTATAAGACACTGTTGGTCCACAGGGGAATCCTTGTGGAGAGATGAGGTCCTTGGGAGGACTTGAAAGAGCAGGACGTGGAAGGCACAGGTGGTGAGGACTGGCTGTAATTAAAGAGGTTAGTTGGCTGAACACGAGTTACCGTAAGGTAGTTGATGTCCCGGCACTGAAGAGAGGTCTGGCAGGAGTTTCTATGCAGCTCCAGATCAGGTCTCCTCAGGCAGTCACAGGTGTGGTCAGTTGAGGTGATTAACTGTGGAGAAAACGTAAGTGACAGAAAAACCCCAGGAATCCCACATAAGCCCCATCATCGAGTACATGGC